CCCGCGGCCCAGGGAATGGCAGGAGGCTTGGGGGTGATCTAGGGTCCAGGCTCAGGGAGGCGGTGGGGGACGCCGCTGTCCCCGAGCGGATCGGCCCTTTACAGATCTCCGGAAAGTTCAAAGTCCCTGGTCATTAACCTGGGCTTGAAGACTGCAGCTTGCCCATCCGGGGCGAGTGCCCGTGACAGGAAGCTGCCCTGGCCAGCGAGAGGAGACCCCAGGGGGACCAGGCAAGGGGACCTGCAGGCCGAGCCCACCCCGGTATCGACCCAGCCAGGCTCGTTTCCGCTGCATTATAGGTGGCTGGATTCTGAACTTCACCCTCCACGGTGCCCCAGAAACGGCCTGCCTTTCTCTTCCTGGGCCTGGCACAGCTGATAATGGGGACCATTCCACATTTTGGTGGTTCCCAGAGCTCAGGACTGGGGTGGGGGGAGTGTGTTGGGATACAGGGATTGGTCCTGCCACCAGAAGAGGCAGGCCACCCCACCCCAAACACACACACACACACACACACACACCCCTTCCCTTACTACTCCAAGATCAGAGACAGGGGTCCAACGGCGCTTTGTCACACTTTCAACATTTCTACACCACCATCCCGCTGGCCCCTCACCGGCCCAGGACCTCCAGACAGCCAGTGCCTGTCCCAGAGGAGCTGCCCTCCTCGGCAGCACTGACTCCTGCTGGGGGCTAGGCCCACACTAGGGCAGCTCCTCTCCTCTGTCCCTACTTGCTGGGCCAGGTGTCCCAAGCTTTCACCTGCTCCCCGCCAGAATTACTTAGCCAAAGCCCAGGAGTCCCCCTCACACTGATTCTCTGGTCCTGCCAGACTACCACCTGTCTACAGCTGACTGTCATCTAAAGGGACCATCACCTCCAAAGATCCCCCAACCCTGGTCTCCCGCCTCTTACCCCCAAAGCACTGCCCAGGAGAATAGGTGACTCCCTCTGCCTATTATTCACTATATCCTGCCCATTCTTTCTGCACGGGGATCTCAGATCCACCCCTTCCTGGCCACCCCTCCCCTAGACACACACACACACCCCTGACTCATCACTGCCACCTCACAGCCCATTGTGAAGCTGGAGGGGAACTCTGAGGTCATCAAATCCACCCAGCACTGCACACTGCAGTCCCTCTAGTCATCCGTTTCTGCCTCTGCTTGGGTATGTCTAGGGACGGGGTGCTCGCTACCTCCACATTGGGGGGATAGCTCCCGCTGCCGCAAACTCTTCCCTATACTGAACCAAAACTCGCCTCCCTGTCGAGGCCCTGCAGCCGTAAGGAATTCCCCTCCCTTCCTCCTGGCGGCTCCTTAGGAATGGGAGGATGGACAGACCTGGTGTGAGTACTGGTCCTGCCTTGACAAGTCACTTCACCTCCTGCTCCTCAGTGTCCTCGTCAATAAACTGGAGGCAGCTGAGTCCCTGCTGCATAGGGTGGGCGTGAGGAGGATTACATGAGGATGCTGTCGTGCAGCACTCAGCCAGGGCCTGGCACACAGCAGGTGCTGAATGGTGGCTGCCAGAATCATCACCTTCATGGGAAGATTATACCCTGAGGCTCCTATCTCCAGGATAAATACCCCTGAGTCTTTTGTCCCCTCAAATGTGGTGGCCCAGTGTCCCCTATGGTCCAGTGTAAGCCCTCCTCCATGTCCCCAGGTCACAAAGTCTGTCCTGAGCAGTCTTTGATCAGAGTGTCCAGCTCAAGGGAGCCCATCAAGGAGCTAGGGAGTCCAGACACTGTCCTATAGCCACCTAGCAGGAGGACAGGGGGAGAACGTCATCAAGCTGCCTGGCATTCACTCTGGTCTTCAGTGAGGGCAGGAGACAGTGACCACTTCCTCCCTCTCCCCCACACTCTGAGTTCCACCTGCCCTGGGGACACAACGGGCGTGCAATAAACATCTGTCTAGCCGGGCGTGGTTGGGTGGCGTCTGGGATGGAACCCAGGAGGTCTCAGATCTCAGAAAGGGTACAGGGGGCATTCCCAAAGTCTAGAGGTGACTTTTTAATCTCCTGCTGCACACTAGATGAATTACATGATCATAGCTAGCATCTCCTTGAACACCTATGACATGCTGGGCTCTGTGCTGTGCGCTTTATAAATGGGGCCCCTTTTAATCCTCACTATGACTCTAGAAGCCTCATTTTCCAGATGAGGAAATTGAGGCTCAGAGAGGTATAATGACTTGCCCGGGGTCACACAGCTGAGAGGGAGTGGGCTTGATCCTGGAGCTCATAGCTATGGGCTACGCGACATGTCTTCATCCTGGGGAGAGGCGGGGACACCACTTCTGTCCTGGGGTGTCCGTGGCATACAGTCCAGACCTCTCACCTGGACATGCAGGGAGGTCCTGGTCCAGCCTGCCTCCCTCTCCCCATGCTCCCCTCTTCCCACGCTCCCTGGCCTCACTCACTCCTTACAGCCTCCAACTTCCCTCCCCTGCCCACTCAGCCGTCCTCCACCTCAATACCTCCTTATTCCTCAGCACTCCAGCCCCCTCCTCCTGGAAGCCCATCCTGGTTTCCCCCTCCTCCCAGTGTGAACTCCAAGGGCAGGAAGTAGGGGTGGGGCAGCTTATTCATCTCAGAAGCCATGGCACCCAGGAGAGCCTCAAACAAAACCTCTAGCATGGACCCAGAAGCAGAAGGATCCAGTTCTATTTGAAGGTGACCCTTCCCAGGGCAGCCTGGGGTCCAGTTTGACCAATCACGTCCTCACTTCCCATGCCTCCTCCCGGCAGAGCTAGGCTGGCAGCTCCAAGAGCATCCCGTTTGTTCCCTGGAAATCTCCAGGGCCTAGAACTGGGCCTGGCACTGGCACATGCTCAAAGCTGATTTGGTGAATGAATGAAGTCATCTCCACCAAAACGCTAGTCACATCCTGGAGAGTAAGAATGGGGCCCTTGATCAGACAAGCCTTACTGCAGGCCAAGCTCTGCCAGCCATGCTGTGTGATGTGCGCAAGTTCCTTCGCCTCTCTGAGCTTCCTTATGTGCCATGCGGTAGCAAGAGCAACACGCTTCCCCTGAGGTTCTCCCGGGGCTCCCTACCGCCCCTCCTGGCACACAAACACGTTCAGTCAGTAAGGGTTAATTGCCACCCTCTGCGCATTCTTTGCTCCTCTTTCTCACCAAACCTGAAGGTCGCCACCGCCTCCCAGCCCCTGCCTCTGCATTTCTGTCTGGGCGGTTCCCCTTCCCGGACCGCCCTTGCCTTCTGCTCTACCCACCCACCTTTTCACGTCCATCAGAGAGCACCTCCTCCAGCATGTCCTCCCTGACTGGCCCTCCTGCCTCTGATCACTCAGGCATCTCTGTCCCCACAATGAGTCTGTGCCATTTGTCCCTAAGGGGGTCCCAGCAGTGACAGGACCCAGACTCCCCAATTGCAGGCTGGGTGACCCTCTGGCTGCTGAGGCCAATGTCAGCTGTGCTGAGTTCCAGGCAGGCCAGGACATGGCTGGAGCTGAGGTCTGGAGGCTGCAGAAGGCCTCCAGAGACCCAGTCTCTTTTCATAGGCCTCCTACCCCTGCCCCTGCCTGCAGTAGCTTGGAGGCCTGCCCTGGGAGCAGCTGTCCAGAGGAGTGGCTGGGATGGAAGGCCTTGGCCCCCCTTGCCACTCCTTCAGGGCAGGCAAGGGCCTCAGGGATTTGCAGGTCCCTGGCAGGATGTAAGCTGCGGGACCTGAGGCCAGTTTGTTGCCAGGAACCCCCATCTGGGAGAGAGACAACCAGCCAACGCCAGAGCCCAATGCCAGCACCATCCGTGCCCGCAGATTGTATCTGACATCACAGCCGCCTCCTTGCCCGGTGACCACGGCAACTGCAGGCCGCCCCCTCCTCTTCCTACCCCCAGAACAGTCCTCCAGTTTCCTCCCAACCAAGGTCCTCCTGTGCAGAATGAATGTGAATGTTTCTGGGCAGAGGTAGGGAGTAAGGGAGCTGGCAGGTGGGAGGGTGGCATGTGAAATTTCCTGCAACTGGCAGAGCTGAGCTGCACAGGGGTCAGGAACATGGCTGTGGCTTTACACAGACCTGGGTACTGCATTCAAATCCCAGCTCTCTGACTTTAACCTCTCTGAGCCTCAGTTTCCCCTTCTATAAGTAGGAATAAGGACAGGCCCCATCTCAGACGGCCAGAGGGAAGAGTCATTGAGTCCGCAGCACCTGGGCCTGATATAGTTAAGTTGTGGCAGATATTACTATTATTATTAATTATTATTGAGTTACTGTCACTCAAATGTGTGCTGGGAGGGGTAAACCTGGGTTCAAACCCTGGCTCCATCTCATCAGCTTTGGGGCTTCAGCCAAGTCCCACCATCTCTCTGAACATTGGTATCTTCATCTAGAAAACGGCGTGACAATGCCTTCCCTGCAGAGCTGCCCCACGCAGCACATAAGGCACAGGGCTGGTGCGTCACAGGCAGAAGTGCCAGGCAGCATTTTTACTGTCCTTCTTCTTCTTGCCCCCTTTCTCCCTAACTTTTGCTTTGCCCCACTCCCAGCCCCAGAGCCCTGGAACCGATTGGCCCTTTCTTCCTTTTATCATCCCCGTGGCCACAGTCACGCTCATCAAGTCCCAAAGTGTCCCAGATCCATGCTCAGGCCTGAAGAATAGCCAGCTGCCGCAGGAAGGGTCAGCAGGGCACTGGAACAGAACCCCGGGGGACCACTTCCCCTTGCTGAGCCTCACCTTCCTCATCTGTGACATGGGGCTGCAGCTGTGACATGGGGACACCTCAGGGCTGCTGCAAGGACTACAGAGCAGCAAAGGGCTTTGGGGCACCCCGTTCCCCCCGTTCTTGCAGAAGTCCCCCCCAACACACTCTTCCTGAACCAGGGCAGCCCCTCTGCCTCCGTGTGGCCTTACCCACCCCTGAACCCAGAGGACACTGCGTCCTTGCCAGGGCCCCCGTGGATATCCAGTGCTTGGACAGAGAGGGCAGTGAGAGCCCTGTCCCCTCGCCCCCAGGCTGTCCAGTCTCCCTACCTTGGCCGCCCGCCCCTTGTCCATGCAGGCGGGGTTCTGACAGCGCAGTCCCTTCTCTTCGGCTGGGCTCTGGTCGTCTGCAGAGGAGGAGCAGAGGGTATCAGTCCGGCAGGGGCACCCAGGCTCCCCAGGGCCCCTGTGGCCTCCCAGCCAGAGGATGGGTGGGGCGGTCTCCTCAGTCCTCCCTTCAAAGGAGGTCACTGTCCCTTTCTCTTTTAAACGCCAACTTATCTGCACGGGATCTGTCTGCAGAGCCCTTTTCTTGATGCAGTTCCCCAGGGAAATTATCCAGATTCCACCGGGAAAACACGACTTTGGAAATAAGTTGCTCCGTCTGTCTGTGCCACTAGTCTGTGGGGGGCGGGGGCTCGGTGACCTTGTGGGGGCCCCAAGACTTCCTGGGGGATCCCGGCAGGGCTGCGGGGGGAGGGGAGGGGAAATCCAGGGGTCCGAGACCCCCTCCTAACCCTGCCCTCCACGTCAGCCCCTGCAGGCACAGGCATCCCCCGAAGGCCGGGGGCCACCCCCTTTTCCCCGCTGTCCATCTTGGACCCTGAAGGTGGCCCCTCCGAGCCGCCGCTCCCTCCGGGGGCAGGGCAGGGGGGCAGAGAGGCCGCCGCGCGCCGCCAGCAGGATGCGGGGACAGGGGCCGGGGGCC